AGCGGCCGCGGCGGGACAACCCTCCTCTGTCCATTGACCTCACCTTTCACCTGCTGCGGACCCTGCTGGAGCTGGCGCGGACGCAGAGCCAGCGGGAGCGCGCCGAGCAGAACCGCATCATATTCGACTCGGTGGGCAAGTGACGGCCCGGTTTGTGGCCGCGAAAACTTTGACCCCTTTCCCCCACCCCAGGGTTGGGATGCGGGGCAGAGCCACCAGGGCACTCTCTGCTTGACTATTTTTTAATAAAAGTACTGAAGACCCGTTGGCTTCTGTCGTGGGGGCAGGGCAGTCACAGCAGCGTGGGAACCCGTGGGAAGGTGGGGCCCCCGGGCCAGCGGGAGGGGAACAAAATGCTGTGGGGGGCTCTGGGAGAGCAGCTTTCAGCCAGGTCAGCCAGGTGCCTTTGAACCCCAGGGGTCCCCAAATCCCTAGGACCTCAGAGGTCCCAGCACCACCGCCCCGCCCTCGACCCTTTTCCCAGGGCGCTGGGCTCACCATTTCGCTCCTGGCATCACAGAGGTGCCCAATAGGGGTTCATTTGGCTTCCGCCCCCCGGATAGTCTCAGGTTCTGGGAAGGGCAGGATGGTGGGCGGGTCGCCTCCGAAGCCGAGGCTGCGGCATTGGGCAGCGAAAGGAGATACGGGTCGGGGACGCTCGAGTTCTTTATTGAGATCCTCCCGGGGCGGGCGCCGATTTGGGCGACGCCGCAGTCTCTGCGCAGATCCTCCCCGACCCTAGCGCGGGCGCTCGAGCAGGGTCGGGTTGGCGCAGGCCTGTACCCGGGAAAGAAGGCTCGGTCGGCTGGTGCTGCGAAGGCGCCAGGCAGCTCGAGCCCCGCTCACTCCGTCCTCCGCCACGTGGGTTTCTCCTCTACTCAGCCTGCCTTGCTTGCCTCCCAGCACCCCGAGGAACGGCGGGTGAGGAGGAAAGTGTATTTTTCCGCCCTTTGTGGCTCCGGGGTTGGGTGGCACCGACGAATGGGGGCTTCATGCGACCCGCAGGGAGGACAATCACTGGGGGAGGGGACGCGAGCACACCAGCCAGGCCCCACCCCAAGCCCCTCGGGCCGCTCTCACCTTAAGGCCCATCCGGCCGCTCTTCCTCCGGCCCCGCGGTGCCCTCGTCTCCGTCCAGGGCCACCTCCTCATCTTCTTCCTCCCCGGAAGCTCCTGGGCCCAAGGAAGGCCTGGTGAGGTGGAGTCCCTGCCTTTCCGGCCATCGTGCCCTCCTCACCTCCCACACAGAGGGTCTGAACCCCAGTCCCAGCGGCCCTCGGCCACCTCCCTCACCCGGCTGGAAGTCGATGGTCCGCAGCATTTCGGCGACGTGTTCCACGCTCACGGTGAATTGCTCCATGCTCTCATAGCCTGGCTCCGGCCGCCCTGCCAGCTCCACCTTCGACATGGCCCCGACCCTGCGGTGGCCACACGGACTCAGCTGGCAATGCCCCAGCACCCTCAAGCCCCGCCCCCAGCCAGTGGAGCAGCGCAGCCCCCTCCTTTCCCTTCCCGCTGTGCCTACTCACTTATTGATCAGCTCCTTGGCCTGCTGCAGGGAAGAAAAGGAGGGTGAGAGTAAGCACCGGGCCAACCTGGGCAAAGTCCCATTTCTGAGTCTCACCACAGTCCTGTGGGGTAGGTGGGAAGGCACATCCCAATCGTTAAGTGGAAAATGAACTCAGAGGGGGTGACTTGCCCACGGTCCTAGTGGCAAACAGGTGCAAGAGACAAGACTTGAACCTGGGTCTCCAGGTACCAAGGCCCCGACTCTAGCCACTGTGCGGCACTGCTACCCTCCCCTAGGGCCCACCTGGAGGTAGAGCGCCATCTGTGGCTCTTCCATGGACTGAATGGCGGACTCCACCAGCTTAGAGGAGGCCTCCAGGTGGTCGCCATACTGACGGATGAGGCCGCGGACGCGCTGCAGCTTCTCCTCTTGCTCCCGGGCCAGCGCCTGCAGCAGCTCGCCCTTGCGCTCCTCCAGCACTGCGCACAGGCTCTCAAACCTCTGGTTTAACAACTGCTTCTGCCTCCGGCTATTGTCCTAAAAGATGGGGAGCAAGGATGAGGGAAGGCGTGGCTGAGACCCGGTGGCTGGGAAAGCACAGGATACTCACAGAGAACCAACACAGAAAGTGACCCACCCATAGTGACACTATGCGTTAGTGGCTGAGCCAGAATCCAGCCCAGATCTTTTCCATAATAAAAACACAATGCTTTAAAGTAGCTTCACTAAGTGTTGTCTATATCCCTAGCCCTGGTTTTTATTTGCATTATTCCATATAATTCTCAAAAAGAATCCATGAGGTAGCTGGTGTACCATTTATCATCATCACTGTTTTATGAGGTTAAACAAAACCAAAGCACAGAGAAGTTAAATAATTGGATTAAAGTTTTGCGGAAAAGCTGGAATGAGCACCCAGCAGCCTGGCAAAAGCACCTCCCACCACTCCCAGGACCCCAGAAACTTTTGGACCAGTTTGGCCAGAGGTCAGAGAGGAGCAGTTCACTTGGGAGCCCGGGGTCCGCAGGCCAGCCAGTTGCTGTTCCCCCCGCCCTCCAGCCCAGGCTTACCTCGATGGTCTGGCACACCTCCTCCATCTGCGTGATGACTGCTTGCACACGGTCATTGCCTGCCACTAGCATCGCGATGCCATCGCTGAGCTCACTCTGATACACACACAGGTTAGCACTTAGAGCTGGGACCTCACCTAGAGCTATACCCCTCACCCCAGCCAGGGTTGCCTAGGAGAGGGCTGGCCCCTCCACCCCATCCCCCATGAGGGCATCTACAGCAATCTAGAAGGTCTGAACCATCAAAAGGTACAGAAGCACATTCTAGGGATTCTGGAAGGAGGTGGAGAGAAGCCCTCCACCACTAAGTGGGGAAGGAACAGACAGTCTCCAAACATCCACCAGATAGTAGGCACTGGGCTAGATGCTTTATCTGTAGATTCGTTTCCTGCATAAATTCTGAGAAATTCTTCACGATTATCCATCTGCATAATATTGCCTTTTCTCTATTCTCTTTATCCTCTCATTCTGGGAATCTGATTAGACCTGTTAGACCTTCTCACCCTCAGCCTTCTCATCTCCTAGAACTGCACATTCTGTTTTTCTTTTAGTCCTCTCATGCTATTCACTAGTCTGTTTTCAGACAAATCTATCATTTAATTCACCTGTTGAGTTTTTTTGTTTTTTTTTTTTTGAGACGAATTCTTGCTCTGTCACCCAGGCTGGAGTGCAGTTGCGTGATCTCAGCTCACTGCAAGCTCCGCCTCCTGGGTTCTCGCCATTCTCCTGCCTCAGCCTCCAGAGTAGCTGGGACTACAGGCACCCGCCACCACACCTGGCTGATTTTTTGTATTTTTAGTAGAGACAGGGTTTCACTGTGTTAGCCAGAATGGTCTTGATCTCCTGACCTTGTGATTCGCCTATCTCAGCCACCCAAAGTGCTGGAATTACAGGCGTGAGCCACTGCGCCCGGCCGAATTTTTTTTTTGTAAGAGACAGTCTCACTCTGTCACTCAGGCTGGAGTGCAGTAGTATGATCATTGTTCACTGGATCCTCGAACTCCTGCACTCAGGCGATCCTCCTATTTCAGCCTCCCAAGTAGCTGGGATTACAGGCACATGACACCACTCCCAACTAATTACAACAAAAAAATTTTTTAGGCCGGGTGCAGTGGCTCACACCTATAATCTCAGCACTATGGGAGGCCAAGGTGGGTGGATCACGAGGTCAGGAGATCAAGACCATCCTGGCTAACACAGTGAAAACCCGTCTCTACTAAAAATATAAAAAATTAGCCAGGTGTGGTGGTGGACACCTGTAGTCCCAGCTACTCCGGAGGCTGAGGCAGGAGAATGGTGTGAACCTAGGAGGCGGAGCTTGCAGTGAGCCGAGATCCTGCCACTGCACTCCAGCCTGGATGACAGAGTGAGACTCCGTCTCAAAAAAAAAAAAATTTTTTTTAGAGATGGAGGTCTCACTGTCGCCCAGGCTAGTCTCAAACTCCAGGCCTTATCCTCCTGCCTCAGCCTCCCTAGTCACTGGGTTTACAGGTTCCAGCCACCATGCCCAGCCATCTGTTAAATGTTCTATTTTATATATATATAATATATTTTATATATGTTATATATATTTTATATATATATATATTTGAGATAAGGTCTCACTCTGTCTCCCAGGCTGGAGTGCAGTGGCTCAATCTCAGCTCACTGCATCCTCGACCTTCCAGGCTCAGGTGATCCTCCCACCTCAGCCTCCCAAAGTGTCGGGATTACTGGCGTGAGCCACCACACCCAGCTACATGGTTGTTTTTTGGTATTCTATTATTGTTTGATTTTTTAAATTTTTCATCTTGTTTTAAAAAGCATTTGATTCATAGTGACTTCCAATTATTTACTAATTCCAATATCTCAGTTCCTTTTGGGGGGTGTCCTAAATCTGTAATTTTTATGTCTGCTGACTTCACTCATGGATTACGTTTCTCTGTGCACCTTCAATTGTCAGCCAATATTTTGTTGATATTAATTAATCTAGGGAATACCTACAGGCCTAAACTGAGCATATTCTCCTCCAGGCAGTATTTGCATTTGCCTCTGTTGAAAGCCAGGTGGCGCAATTTACTGCTTTAGCTCCTAGGATCCTTGTTTAACCTGCAGTCTCCGGAACTTTTTGCCCTGTTGCCCAGGCTGGAGTGCAATGACGTTATCTCAGCTCACTGCAACCTCCACTTCCCAGGTTCAAGCGATTCTCCTGCCTCAGCCTCCTGAGTAGCTGGGATTACAGGGCCTGCAACCACGCCCAGCTAATTTTTGGTATCTTTGGTAGAGACAGGGTTTCACCACGTTGGCCAGGCTGGTCTCAAACTCCTGACCTAGTGATCTGCCTGCCTCAGCCTCCCAAAGTGTTGAGATTACAGGCGTGAGCCACAGCACCCAGCCAGGTCTCTGGAATCTTAGCTGCAGGTATCCCTCTTTTAGGGGTTTGGAGGAATAGTCTGGTCTCTAGCTCAGTGACATTGCCAGCACTGGTCCTCTGGGAAATGCTGCCTTTTCTGTGCTTGCCACTCTGGGTTCTGCTTTCAGCTCAGCCTTTTCTTTTCGCCCCTCCCCACCCCCACTGATTTCCTTTGCTTCTATGTACCAAGCAATATAATTTGAAAATTCTGTTTTACACAGAATCTAGTTGTGTGATAGTGAGAGGACTCTGCGAGTATCTAGCCCACCATACTGAAGTCTGCGCTTTCATCCATTATCGAATTTTATCCTTATAGCTACTTTCACAAGTAGGCATTTTCACCCTCATTTTACACATGAGGAAAGTGAGGGCCACAAAGGTCCAGTAACATACCTAGGTCACATACCGAGTCAAGCACAGAGCTAGGACTTTCACCCCAATCTGCTTGACTTTTATTATTTTATTTTATTTTCGAGACAGAGTTTCGCTCTTTTTGCCTAGGCTGGAGTGCAATGGCGCAATCTCGGCTCACTGTAACCTCCGCCTCCAGAGTTCAAGTGATTCTCCTGCCTCAGCCTCCCGAGTAGCTGGGATTACAGGCGCCCGCCACCATGCCAGCTAATTTTGTATTTTTAGTAGAGAAAGGGTTTCACCATGTTGGCCAGGCTGGTCTGGAACTCCTGACCTCAGGTGATCCACTCACCTTGGCCTCCCAAAGTGCTGGGATTACAGGCATGAGCCACCGCGCCTGGCTTAATCCACTTGATCTTATTTTTATTTATTTATTTATTTTATTTATTATTATTATTATTTTTAGACGGAGTCTTGCTCTGTCGCCCAGACTGGAGTGCAGTGGCGCGATCTCGGCTCACTGCAAGCTCCACCTCCCAGGTTCAAACAATTCTTCTGCCTCAGCCTCCCGAGTAGCTGGGACTACAGGCACCCACCACCACACCTGGCTAATTTTTTGTATTTTTAGTAGAGACGGGGGTTTCACCACGTTAGCCAGGAAGGTCCCGATCTCCTGACCTCGTGATCCGCCCGCCTCGGTCTCCCAAAGTGCTGGGATTACAGGCGTGAGCCACCGCGCCTGGGCTATTTATTTCTTTTTAGATGGAGTTTTGCTCTTGTTGCCCAGGCCGGAATGCAATAGCGTGATCTCAGCTTACTGCAACCTCCACCTCCCAGGTTCAAGCAATTCTCCTGTCTCAGCCTCCCAAGTAGCTGAGATTACAGGCACATGCCACCACGCCTGGCTAATTTTTGTATTTTTAGTAGAGACGGGGTTTCATCATGTTGGTCAGGCTGGTCTCTAACTCTCGACCGCAGGTGATCCGCCTGCCTCCGCCTCTCAAAGAGCTGTGATTACAGGCGTGAGCCACCGCGCCCAGCCTGCTTGACTTTAAAACTAAGTGGAGCAACACTTTGGGAGGCTGAGGTGTCAGGGGCGTTTGAACCAGAGCAACTCCATCTTGAATAGGGGCTGGGTAAAATGAGGCTGAGACCTACTGGGCTGCATTCCCAAATGGTTAAGGCATTCTAAGTCATAGGATGAGATAAGAGATCAGCACAAGATACAGGTCATACAGACCTTGCTGATAAAACAGGTTGCAGTAAGGAAGCCGGCCAAAACCCACCAAAACCAAGACGCCAATGAGAGTGACCTCTGGGGGTCCTCACTGCTACACTCCCATTAGCGCCATGACAATTTACTAATGCCAAGGCAATGTCAGGAAGTTACCCTATATATTCTAAAAAGGGAAGGCATGAATAAAGTACCTCTTGTTTAGCATATCATCAAGAAATAACCACAAAAATGGGCAAACAGGCTGGACCCGGTAGCTCATGCCTATAATCCCAGCACTTTGGGAAGCCGAGCAGGGTGGATCACCTGAGTTCAGGAGTTTGAGACCAGCCTGGCCAACATGGTAAAACCCTGTCTCTACTAAAAATACAAAAATTAGCCAGGCATGGTGGCGGGTGCCTGTAATCCCAGCTACTCAGGAGGCTGAAGCAGGAGAATCACTTGAACCTGGGAGGCGGAGGTTGTAGTGAGCTGAGATTGCACCATTGCACTCCAGCCTGGGTGACAAGAGTGAAACTCTGTCTAAAAAAAAAGGGCAACCAGCAGCCCTAGGGGCTGGTCTGTCTATGGAGTGGCCATTGTCTTATTCCTTTACTTTCCTAATAAACTTGCTTTCATTTTACTCTACGGACTAGCCCTGAATTCTTTCTTGCACGAGATCCAATAACCCTGTCTTGGGGTCTGAATCAAGACCTCTTTCCTCTAACAGAGGCAGGAGGATGGCTTGAGCCCAGGAATTCAAAACAAGCCTGGGCAACACAGTGAGATCTTGTCTCTTTTTAATATTTTATTTTTGTTTCTGAGACAAGGTCTCACTCTACCACCCAGGCTGGAGTGCAGTGGTTCAATCACGGCTCACTGCAGCCTCAACCTCCTGGGCTCAAGTGATCCTCTCACCTCAGCCTCCTGAGTAGCTGGGACTACAGGCATGCCACCATGCCCAGCTAATTTTTTGTAGAGACAAGGGTCTCACTGTGTTACACAGCCCAGGCTGGTCTCGAACTCCTGGACTCAAACAATCCCCTGCCTCCTTCTTCAAAAGTATTATTAGTACCACTACTACTACTAATATTTATTACTAGTAGTATCCTCCTAAAGGATTACAAGTGTGAGCCACTGTGCCCTGCCTGAGACCCTGTCTCTATGTAAAAATGAAAAAGTTAGGGTCGGGCGTGGGCGTTCACGCCTGGAATCCCAGCATTTGGGAGGCCAAGGTGGTTCGATCACCTGAGGTCAGGAGTTCCAGACCAGCCTGGCCAACATGGTGAAGCCCCATCTCTACTAAAAATACAAAAAATTAGCTGAACATGGTGGTAGACACCTATAATCCCAGCTACTCAGGAGGCTTAGGCAGGAGAATCGCTTGAACCCAGGAGGCAGAGGTTATAGTGAGCCGAGATTGCGCCACTGCACTCCAGCCTGGGCAACAAGAGCGAAACTCTGTCTCAAATAAATAAATAAATAAGCTGGGCATGGCGGCACATGCCTGTAGTTCCAGCTACTCGGGAGACTGAGGTGGTAGGGATCACGTGAGCCCAGGAGTTCAAGGCTGCTGCAGTGAATCACAATCATAGCAGTGCATCCCAGCCTGGGCGACAGAGATCCTCACATCTCTTCAAAAATAAATGAATGGAACTGGGCACAGTGGCTCACGCCTGTAATTCCAGCACTTTGGGAGGCCAAGGTGGGCAGATCACATGAAGCCAGGAATCAAAAAACAAAAAACAAAAAACAAAAAAACTGGGCGTGGTGGCACACACCTGTAATCCCAGGTACGTGGAAGGCTGAGGCATAAGAACGGCTTGAACCCGGGAGGCTGAGGTTGCTATGAGCCAAGATTGCACCACTGCACTCCAGCCTGGGTGACAGTGCGAGACTCCATCTCAAAATAGATAGATAGATAGATAGATAGATAGATAGATAGATAGATAGATAGATAGATAGATAATAGATAGGGCTGAGTGCAGTGGCTCACATCTATAATCTTAGTGTTCTGGGAGGCTAAGACGGGAGGATCACTTGAGCTCAGGAGATCAAGGCTGCAGTAAGTTGTGTTTGTGCCACTGCACTCCAGCCTGGGCAACAGAGTGAGATCCTGTCTCTAAATAAATAAAGAAATAAACAAAAGATAAGTGGAATAAGAGGCTGACATTGAGACCCTGTCCTAAGCCCCCATCTCCCACACATCTACTCCCTCCCCTATTTGATACCTTCTGGCGTTTGTAAATGGTGGGCAGTGGGGCCACCTCACAGTCCTTGTGGGCACCGAAGACCTTGCAGAGAGAGCAGGTGGGCACCTCACAGCTCAGGCAGTAGATATTGATCTTCTCCTCTTCATGCTCCTCGCACATGAGGTGCTGCTCAGCCTTGGAGTGCAGCGGCCTAGAGAGGATTGGGCAGGGGGAGGTGGACCTTAAGCATGAAGGGTCCTAGGAACACCTTCTCTTCAGCCTCCACCAACTACCACCCCTTCTCCACCCCTGCAGCTAGTGCTGTGGCTGAACTGGTGAGTACTTCCACAGAGCTCTGAGTTTGGGGAATAGAAGGAGCTAAGAGATAGAGAAGGCCTGGATCCAAGAATAGTCTGTATTTCAGGGGGCAGGGAAGTCCCACAGGACAGGAAGTCTTGGAGGGTTGGCGAGGATCTTGCTGGTGGACTGCCAGCCTCTCCCAGGAAGAGAGGGTAGGAGTGAAGTACTGGCTAGGGAATCAGGGACTGCCCTCTCTGGGAGGCCTGAGGCAATCCCTCTCCGGATCCAGTCCTATTGTCTCTAGACAGAACAGGTGGGTTGATGGTTTCAGTCTCTCCCTTCTGGCTCTGATGGGTTCCTTGGCTGTGTCCCAAGCCCTGACATTTAGAGAGGCAAGAGACCCTGGCAGCTCACCTGGACGACTCCTGCTTGTAAATGTCAATAATGTTCTCCACTAGCAGGTTTCGCTGCAGGCCGTAGACACCATGTCTGTCCAGGACAACCTCATGCCTGCAAGATGGGCAGCGGAAACGGCCTCCTGAAGACACAGTGGTGGAGCCCCGGGACTGCCACAGAGGATTCGAGGCCTGCAGGGACAGATGGCTTGAGAGAACAGGCACGGGGAGGCATGAAGGGACTCGGAGGAGGCAGGGGGAAAGGGATTGGGGGCTAGGGAGTAGGAATATGATAGAGGGGAAGATGTCAGCTCTTCTCTGTGGCTGGATCCACCTCTGAGAGCAGCGCAGGGTGTACGGCTATGGAGACCCTGCTTCCCACCTTTGCCTCATTACTCAGCCCACCTCCTAGAGTGCCCCTGCATCTAGAGACCAGCTTTGGTAAAGGTGTAGTCAGGCTGGGATCTCTCCAAAGGGGCCCAACTTGGAGCTGTGGGGAGACATTGGCCTTGGCAATAAGGCTGAGGCAGGAAATGGACTCTGAGTGGTGCAGCCAATGTCTTCCAGTCTGGGGCCCTCTTGAGCCACATCTGGGGGGAGATTCTCTGCAGTCCTGGGGAGGGGTATAGCAGACACAAGTGCTCAACAATGGGGTTCACAAACAGTAACTAGCCAGGTAATTCTCTGATGCCTTTTTTTTTTTTTTTTTTTTTTGAGACAGGGTCTCTCTCTGATGCCCAGACTGGAGTACAGTGGTGGGATCACAGCTCACTGCAGCCTCGACCTCCTGGGCTCAAGCAATCCTCCCATCTCAGCCTTTTGAGTAGCTGGGACTACAGGTATGTACCACCATGCTCAGATAATTTTTTTAATTTTTAGTAGAGATGAAGTATCACTATGTTGCCCAGGCTGGTCTTAAACTCCTGACCTCAAGCGACCCTCCTGCCTTGGCCTCCCAAATTGCTGAGATTATAGGCATGAGCCACCATGCCCAACCTCTTAACTATATAAATTTAGGCAGGTATTCAACCTCTGTAAAGCTGAGGATAAAATTAGATTATTCATTTATAGTGTGCCAGGTAGTTGCTAGACTCTGAGTTAAAGATACAAGGAAAATGCATCCTGCTCTAAGGACAAGCACCCAACAACTGCATCCAGCAGGATGGGTGTTGCGACAGGGGTAAGTTCAGAAGGAGGACTTAACAGACACCCATCACTTCCTCCTGCTTACATCTCTTTCCTAGAGAAGTTGCTCCATCCTCTCCTAGAAGACAGATCCGTGCCACAGATGACTGATTCAGAGCTAAGGAGGTGATCACCTGACCCAAGCAGAACCAATTAAATGTTCTCTCCTAAGAATCTGCACTTGAGACTCAGGGGCTTAGCTGGCTGCACCATGTGCTGCTTAGGAACTGAACAGACCTGTGGAATTGGGCTAAGAGCTGACATCATGGCCACCCTGGAAAGTGTGAGGGGTCATAAACTCTG